TATATTGAAGATAGAATGTACTTGGAAGAGATCAGCTTTCCCCCCCCCTGTATGAAACGCCCATTGTGAAAGCTTCTACTGCAACATCTGAGTGAAACTTTTCTAATGATGATAATTGAGTACTTCTTCCATCCTTGAAAAGAGCATAACCAAACTCGCTGAGCATCAATTTCCTCCAAACAATCTGTGCAGAAAATATGCAACGTTCATTAACAACCAATTTGTGCTATATTTGAAGGTTAAGTAAAATGCTAAAATAATCATTTCTTTGATGTCAATTACTACATCAACAAACTAGTATCATAATACTTTCCGACATTAATGAAAGTTTCAATTCACTCACCTTGAAGTCCTAATTCTTAATTTGAGTACCCCCTGGCTGTAGCAATTCACCAACAATTCGGTCAGGTTCTGACAAATCTCTTTCAATCACTGCACTCGTCGTCCATCCTGCTTTTGTAAAAAATGACTATAGAACATGATATAGACAAATACAACAAATCTTCTATAATCATTCAACATTACTGGACACATTACTAGCAATTAGTTATAGTACGTACTGGCATCCATAAGAGATCATGAAACAAGCTAAATCGCTAAACAATTGACCATAAGATGTGATACAGTGGTCATGTGCATGATAATTAAGTGTGCCCTTAACAATGAGCATGATGTAACAAGTGATAGAACAAATATTAGCAGTGGTCCTACTGCTTTGAATATGCTCATCAATCCACAATATAAACAATTTACACAAATGACAGTATAAAACGACTTGATCAAAGAAGAAGTCACTACTGAACATAAAACAGTCAATTTTGTGCACGCCTCATCTTAAAAAAGTGGGAAATATTTTGCTTGTTGAGTCCATATCCATTAGCACTCCATTACATTACAAGGTTATATAAAAGGATATCTGGAAGTTGGGCCTCATCTCATAATCTCATAACAACAGACAGCAGCAAATAAAAAATCCCATGAACATAGAAGGTTGTGTATCACAAGAATCTAAACTGTTTTAAGCACAGTAGATTCCCATCATTTTAATAAATAAAGCGTTCCGTTTCATGATAACCAAATGGATCAGATTAAAGGTGAAAAGAAAGAAATTTTCTATTCAGAAAATGTCGCAATCCAAGTCCTATGAGGCATTGTTGTAATTTTAGAAAGAAGCATCAGACATAAAAATCATAAAATTTTAAGCTTACATCTATCTGAGACCACGTTTAAATGAAGTACTTGGACAGAGAACAAAAATTAAAACCTCAAAGTTGTCAATATATATTATCCATCTACGATGTTACAACGAGTAGGATTGTATATAGCATGTAAGTATACTAAATTGAAAGTCAACAATTAAAATACAATAGAAAATGAAATAATCCGTCATGAAGTCTAATAAAAAACCATCATCATATGACCATATGATTTAGAATGTTTTCTATGACATATGACTCCATACCGATAACTTCATGAATTAAATTAGAATTCAATTATTAAACAAAAACTTCTTCCATTCCGAGTTAGAAAAATCTTTCGAGTTTCAATCAATTTAAGCGCGCAGGTTCTTCAATATCCGCCAGAACATTCAAAGTTTCCGAAAAAGAAAAATTCACCGTTTGGTTAATGGAAAATGGACGAAGATAACAAAAGAATGATAAATAACCTTGCCAAGAGTGTGAGCCAGGGGCGGCACCAGCAACGCCGGCACCGACTATGACGTCAGCATCAGAAAATTTCGGATCCGCATTCTTCGTTAACAGCAGAGGTGCTCTTCAAAAATCATTTCTAGTATCCAACGAATCTCTCTTATTTCTCATAACAAAATTATACAAAGTAAAGAGCCCCAAGTTATACAAGGCGACCAGGCCCAGCACCGACCCAAGATCAGTCCCCACGTGTACTGATCCGCCATTTCACAGCGAATGCAAATCCTCAACGACAGATACAGTAGCAGGACAGCCAAACGACGAGGATGACAATGACGATGAGTTCTCTCTGTGTGCGTAAATTAGTTTTGTCGTCTGCTTCGCTGGCTATGCTTGTTTTTGAATGGGATTTGGTTAATTTACAGAGCACGGAAGTATGAGCTAAGAGAGCCGTTTTTATACGCCTGCTGCCTTGGGTCCACAACTTACAACTAACAAGTCACCACTATCCCATCTCCATTATCTACTATATGCCAAAAGCCTTACCACTCTTCCTTATCAATTTTCTTAAGTTCATCCAATTAAAATTTTCATTGCTTCTTTGCCATAGGATTGAATTATTATTATAATTTCATTAATTTCTCTTTGACTAACTACTAACTTGGTTTATGCCAAACACGGTTTCTTCAAAGGTACTATACATACTCTGATCATAATTTTATCAATTAGTTTGCAATTTTTAAAATTATTTTAAGTTAAAACCGAATTTCCAAGCTGATTGATCATTTAATTTAACTAAGGGCAGGTGGATGTTTTACTGAAAATGAATAATAATAATAAACTATTAAACATAAAACATGTCAATACAATCATTTTGTTAGTTTATATAATTAGATGAAATTATGGACAACCACAAAACGGTTTATGTATTGGACTGATAACTTTGGAAGAGTTGAATCGAACGAATCTCGAGACGATTACAATATGGAATATTATCATAAACTAGTAAACTACCATAAGGTTTGCACTTTATCAAATGGATAATAACTTTGCCAATTTTATAGGATATCATGATATGGTTTTAAAATGGTAGGGGTAAATTGATAGAACTTTAAAAAGTTAGCATGAGAACTATAAGATATATATTTTAAAAATCAGCAAATTGCTATCCACATGATAAACGCTAACTTTAGGTAATTTATGATAACATATCCCATTGCAATATGCAAGTGAAAATGTTCTCAGTTTTTCCCCTTTAAAAAATTTGAAACCCTTAATTAAGTAAATGCAAGGACGACGAAAATACTACAAATTCAGCTTGGGTTCAATTAGTTCAACCAAGTTTATGATGAAGCTCTTAAATCCTAATCCAACTACCAATTGTAATGGATTTGGCAATAAACACGACTTCCAAAATGTAATGGAAGACCAAGACTAAAACATCTAACCTTTGAAATTTTTCAGACGCACATTTTTTTGTTGTAACATATTATATCACAAGAATGTAATAGTAAATTGATGCACGTACGCTACCCGTCAACGTAGAGTTCAGACTCAGTGGGAACAAATCCAATCTATCTACCAGTTGACCGTGAGCCGCCGGCATGGCGTGCCACACATGCTTCATAGTTGGTTCATATTGCCATTATGCGGAGTCTCCAACACAATGAAATCTTTGCGGGTAAAGGCCAAATTATGAGCGTTCAAATTCAATTACTATTACTAGTACATTGGTTCAAACTCTACAATAAGTTACAAGTAATTGGGTCCACACGTGTTTATACACGTAATTACGTGAAGACACCGGGTAAAAAGATGACATAAATTTTTTCTTTTCTTGGTTTCCCATTTCTTTTATTGCTTTAAATTACTCTAAAATTATGATTTTTTTAATATTTTCACCAGATTGTTTTGGGTGGTTTCGTTCGTGAAGGAATTCCAACAATACAAATCAACTGTTCTTGACAAAGTCTTCAAGTTCTCAGTCACTTATTATTCCCATACGCAACCACCAATTATATATAGCTGGCAAGATACTGATCTTATATTAAATATTATACACTCATTACTATATTATCTCATGTGGTATTAATAAATTTAAGTAAACAATTATCCCCCCAAGGTTGGACGAAATCCCAAGTTAGTATCATTGGTTCTATTTATTCCAGTTCATACCTTTAAAGTAATAGTGTTATGAATTTTTAGGATTTAGAGGATGCAATTACCATAATGCCCTTAACTCTAAATTAATAAATTATTTTTAATCCCTAAATTATTAGAATAACAAACCTTACCATTTTATTTTCAAATTATATCAAAACACCCTCGGTCACTATACATCCTAGCCGAAAACAGCCCGATCTCTGGGCTGTTCCAACGACGTTGAATCCCTTGGTCACCTCCATCACCTTCCCCTAGTCCATCGTCCAAAATCCCTCTGGTTCCCCGCTCTTTGTCCCCCAATGGCCGGCACCGTTAGGCTTAGGGTTTCCGTGCTCTTCACCGAATTTCGATCGATTCCGGCGGTGAAAATCCAATTGACACCACCAATGCAACCATCATCTCCAAATCTATAAACCCCTATGTCCTCAGCAACCGTTCGTCATCATTCGTTAGCCAAGAGTTCGTGTTCATCGGCGATTGGCGAGTATGAGGGGTTGTGAATGGTATGGTTTTGTAGAGAGGAGGATGAGGGTTCAAATGGTGGTGACAAGGGTGATTTTGGTGGAAGAATTGCCGAAAAAGAGTGAAAAACGTCGAGAACGACGGTTGCTAATGTGCATCGGAGGACTGTTAGAGCGGTGGTCTGCTAACATGCGCCGCCCATGTAAAATGACCAATTTACCCTTTACCGTTACCTCAAACGTTTTTTCGTCACTTTAAGGGGGGAATCTAGAATAAATGGAACCAATGGTACTAACTTGAGATTTCGTCAAACCTTGGGTGGGAGTGGGAATATGTCGTTTACTCATAAATTTATAATATCTTCCCATTTATTTCAATTAAAATAAGAATGTCATACATCATGTGAATTATGATTTTATTTCAATTAAAAATAAGAATGTAAGTGCGGGATGAACGTGTATGTGGGATCTGCAAGAAACAACACTTTCAGAACTCGGTTCAGGATGGATTCGTTATGTGCATGAATCATGGCTTCTAATTTCTAAAAGAAAGAAGTTGAAAAAATAATGCAACTGAAAGGCAGAAATCATTGATGGTTCCTGCCGTCAAATTAAAGAAATGATGTACTGTTTAGAATGTTAAGAACAATGAGAGAGCGGCATATAAAGTCTAGTCCAACCTTCAACCGTTGGCCCAAAACTCCATCCGCAACAGCAAAGGAAATCACAAATTAAAAATTTGTTCGCAGCGGGAATTAACTGAATTTCGGAGGTTACAGTGACATGGATTTTGAGTGTTCAAATCCGAGCTTGTGCGAGAGGCTCTTTCGTCTTACCAAGCTCGTGTAGAATCTCTGAACAAACCAGACCTGTTTCACTAGACAATTTTACCGTAACCAACTCCCTTCTCTCATCCACCAACGAAACCCTAATCCTTACGTCACCACCCGGAGCTTCCAGCTCATGAAGTGGAAACTCACTCGCGGCAAATGAGGTTCGCAGTTCAATTTTTTTCTTTTTTCGAACTTAAGTTTCCATAGGTTCGTGTGCTATTTATGTGCGTGAAATTTGAATTTCAGGCCGCGTTTGTTGATTTCGTGTCTTCTTTGGACGAGTCTTCAGTGCAATCTGCTTCTGCGAAGGCATTCGAATCGCTTCCTGATTTAACAAAAGCAGTTTCTGAGCTAACTGTTTTGAAAGGCGTGGGTCCGGCCACCGCTTCTGCCGTTTTGGCTGCTTATGCGCCTGATGTGGCGCCGTTTATGTCCGATGAGGTATATTTTATTATTTTCATTTTTTAAAAATATTTTTTGAATTATGGTTAGTTTGTTTTGTTGCTTAATTATTAGTCTTATTTTGGAAAGGCTATGGAGGCATCTCTTGGCAACTGCAAAGACTATTCACTGAAGCAGTACTTATTGTTCGCTGATAAATTACAGGCAAAAGCTAAGGTCAGTGACATTTTTGGTTGTTTCTTTCATAGGCATATTAAACATATTGCTTCGTGCCATTATTGCTTACCTAAATTTTGTTTGAAAGCAATTGGAGTGAAGGCACTGTAGGGATATCTACCACTGACTTCATTTCCATATAATTTTTGGTTGATTGCGCTGTGTGTCCCATTATATTTAGAATTACCAAAAATTGTACCTTTCATGGTTGTTTAATGCAATCCAAGAGAGTCTTATTTTATTTTATTTTATTTTTTATCTGATGAAGTATTATTGGTTGAATTGTGAAGGAACATTTGTGTCTATAGTTTTTGACATTATATGAACCAGTAATTCGGTCTTTGCTCTTGTAGGAGCTAATTCAATTTGTTGAAAAGAATGTGATGAGCATTGGGCAAATGTCTCAAAAAGTTAGTAATACTTCATATCTTTAAAATTTTTAATCTTTGATTGCGATTTGTGAGCTTATTCAGATGGTCCCTGAAAAATGCTGTTTTCATAACTGTCCTACAGCCATGATGTGAATGGCTTGTCAGGGAGTATAAAACTCCCTTGTAATTTGGTGGAGGGTTCTTTTTTTTGTTCTGGGACCATTTTTATTTGAACTTGATAGGCTGTCTTTTACATTTCAATATTATCTAAAAAAGATCCAAAAGTGAATTCCTTGAGTGTCTTATCTACTAGCATTTTATGTTTCCCAGATTCTGAATTTGATATGTTTTGTCAAATGTGTTTGAGCATCTTTACTGTATTCTATGTCAAATACTTGAACTTTGAGTCAAATCTCTTTATTGCCTTTTTAAATACAACAGACATTAGGCACTCTATTTTGTATTAATTTGTGTTGAATTAGGAGATGAAACCTATGATATTCTTATGGCCATGCTTTATTGCTTTACTTGGTTCTGATTGCCTAAATCTGCAAGTGTTCTGTGCGAATCTAAGAGGTTCTTGTGAATAGAAGATATAAATGAAGTATCAGATGACATGTTTTAAATCAGTGTTTTACCTATAAAAAAAGGTATGAACTGATATAATGTAGGAAATTCATTTTTATCATATGGTTTCTGGTAGATACCATCTGAAGATATATCCAATATTGAAATTCATTCACTTGTTACCTTGTTACAAGTTGATAAGAAGGCTACAATTCTTTAATTCTGTAGAACAAAGCCCAGAAATTTTATTTATTAGGGTTTCTAGAAAAATAATCTGCATAGGAAAATATTTATAATTTATCACATGAAGTTTGCATTGATGACAAGGTTTTAATGCTGATTATGTACAGAATCAATTTGTCATTAATGCTTTTTGTTTGAGTACATCAAGAAATCTGATTGGAAGTTATAAGCTAATCAATTGATGGGGTTTTGATCTAAGTTCTGTCAGGGGTATCTGGGTTTTAATTCCAGTTTATTTATAAGAAGTGGATTGTTGATAATCTTATTATCTACTGAATCTTTGGGAGCTGAATCCCTGTTGAGGTTCCCTATTGCATATAACACTGTGATGTTATCATGCCATTTTCAAGGGTAATGCTGCAGAAATCAGTAAATATGCCCAACTTAAAGGCTTATTATATCCTTGGGAGGTTATATCTCTATAATCCTGCTAATGCTTTTACTAGGTTCAGCAGCTCAGCAGTCACTTGGTGATCATGCCCTGCATGTTAGTTCAAATCTTACATTAAAGGAATAAATTGGTCAATGACTGGAAATATATAATATGTCTGCTAGCTGGATAAAGAACTTGCAATTATTGCTTTTGGGTGTGGCGGAGGAATGTTAGAAGTAGTCCAAGGTTTTAGAAGTTTCCTACATTAATTATATGGTGGAATATCATTTTGTTTCAGGAATTAGTTTATGAAGGGAACTGCTTCACACCATCCGATGTTGAAATGGCTCTTTGGAGTTCTGCCATAGGGGCCAAATTGCAAGCTTCACGATCAGCTGCAGACCCTGAAATTAAGAGAAGGAAAAGCGCTAAAAGAAAGAGAAAACATTGATTATATGATGGGTTGATCGGCTGCAGTATTAGTAAGTTCTAACTACATCAATATATTAGTTATGTCCTATCACCTAGCTTTCAACTCTGCTAACTGGTTAGTCCGTGAGCCTGCCAAAGCAATCTCTTCTGTTTGTAATGTATGACCAAACCAATTTCACAGGATTGAAGTTGTTCAAATTGTTAACTTATTGACCTGCTTTTGTAGTTTGATTTGCTAGTTTTTACTCATGGCAAAAATAATGTGTCATGCTCACCCTGTTGTGCTTAATGTCGTCTAACTCAAAATTTAAGAATTTACCTTGACGTACATATGCATGTGTAGAGTCAGTGGTCATGGGTTAAGCCTCCTGGTAGTCACCGTTAAACCCTTGCGTTCAACAGGCTCTTGTATTACTTTCTTCTTGGAAGGCTTATCTGCTACATTAACATCCTGAATTCCTGATGCGACATGTCTATTACTATTCATTTTAGTTAGTGAGCTGTTAATTAGTAAAAGAAAGGATTTTAGGATGGCAAAAACCTTCAATATATTTCCAACAACTTATTAAATAATTTCTTTCTTGCCTGGCGTGTTTTTGCCGTCAAAATCTTCCTGTGCCTACTCCTACCATGCAGTTGGATCACCGTCCTCGCCCCGGTGTTACAGTACCAATTTTTAGACTTCATTCTCTTTCGAACTTGGATACCGGCATCCTTCATTCAATCAAAATATCAATGCAGACCCCATTGCTTCAAGAGAACAAATTTGTTGTGGTTTAGTCAGTGGTGTGGGTCATCGAAATAGATTATTGATGTAAGAAGTTTCGTTTTATTCAATTGAAGCATATCTATACNTAGATATGCCCAACTTAAAGGCTTATTATATCCTTGGGAGGTTATATCTCTATAATCCTGCTAATGCTTTTACTAGGTTCAGCAGCTCAGCAGTCACTTGGTGATCATGCCCTGCATGTTAGTTCAAATCTTACATTAAAGGAATAAATTGGTCAATGACTGGAAATATATAATATGTCTGCTAGCTGGATAAAGAACTTGCAATTATTGCTTTTGGGTGTGGCAGAGGAATGTTAGAAGTAGTCCAAGGTTTTAGAAGTTTCCTACATTAATTATATGGTGGAATATCATTTTGTTTCAGGAATTAGTTTATGAAGGGAACTGCTTCACACCATCCGATGTTGAAATGGCTCTTTGGAGTTCTGCCATAGGGGCCAAATTGCAAGCTTCACGATCAGCTGCAGACCCTGAAATTAAGAGAAGGAAAAGCGCTAAAAGAAAGAGAAAACATTGATTATATGATGGGTTGATCGGCTGCAGTATTAGTAAGTTCTAACTACTTCAATATATTAGTTATGTCCTATCACCTAGCTTTCAACTCTGCTAACTGGTTAGCCCGTGAGCCTGCCAAAGCAACTTCTGTTTGTAATGTATGACCAAACCAATTTCACAGGATTGAAGTTGTTCAAATTGTTAACTTATTGACCTGCTTTTGTAGTTTGATTTGCTAGTTTTTACTCATGGCAAAAATAATGTGTCATGCTCACCCTGTTGTGCTTAATGTCGTCTAACTCAAAATTTAAGAATTTACCTTGACGTACATATGCATGTGTAGAGTCAGTGGAACTTCGTGGGTTATGCCTCCTGGTAGTCACCGTTAAACCCTTGCGTTCAACAGGCTCCTGTATTACTTTCTTCTTGGAAGGCTTATCTGCTACATTAACATCCTGAATTCCTGATGCGACATGTCTATTACTATTCATTTTAGTTAGTGAGCTGTTAATTAGTAAAAGAAAGGATTTTAGGATAGCAAAAACCTTCAATATATTTCCAACAACTTATTAAATAATTTCTTTCTTGCCTGGCGTGTTTTTGCCGTCAAAATCTTCCTGTGCCTACTCCTACCATGCAGTTGGATCACCGTCCTCGCCCCGGTGTTACAGTACCAATTTTTAGACTTCATTCTCATTGGAACTTGGATACCGGCATCCTTCATTCAATCGAAATATCAATGCAGACCCCATTGCTTGAAGAGAACAAATTTGTTGTGGTTTAGTCAGTGGTGTGGGTCATCGAAATAGATTATTGATGTAAGAAGTTTCGTTTTATTCAATTGAAGCATATCTATACGTTAATATTTTTAAGCAAGCACGGGTATTTTTCAAGAATAATATTACACTGACAAATATTTCTTATTAATTTTTTTTTACAAATACGATATGTCAGTTGGTTTTATCTGTCCAAAAATTGATTCCAAATATAAGTTAGTCAATTATAAGTTATTACGTCGTATTTACGAAAGAAAGTTATAAAAAGTATTTATTATCCTATCTTTGTCCATTTTTCAATTAGTGTCCTTGCAGCTTGAAACAATTAACATATCCTGACAAACGATGGTCCGGGGGAACGAGGAATGTCAGGAGTCGTGTTCCGCGCTATTATTGCCTTTTGATTTGAATAATAACGGTAACAACTAGCAACCGAGTAGCCGTTCCAAGGCAAGTAGACAACGAAGTAAGGACCCACTTTTATCATTCCATTTTAAACATTCGAAACTAGTTCGTGGTTAATGGGTTAATATATTATATATAGGGTGTAGGTGTCTCATCCCTCTTCACTTTTTTCTTGTACTTTCCGTAACGGTGCATCAAATGGACGGAATCTCCAAAGCCCAGACCATAAAACTCTACAAACTTCAAAGACAAGAGAAGACCACTGGCTACAGAATATTGAAATGTGGCACGTGTCTTCACTTTATTGGTTGTTATCTGCAAGAGTTTCGCTATTCACGTTGCTTCCCCGCGTGAAGCCCTGGATACTTTGTATATCCACAAGGTTTCGTATAAAAGTCTGGTCCAGGTCCACTCCTTCGCAAGTTCCTTCTTTCTCTCTCATTTGTCGACAAGTCCTTGAAGTTGAAGTCGAAGTTGAAAGCTTCTTAGCAAAACCCACAAAATGGCTATTCAGTCCTCGGTCGACCGGCCCGAACGTAAGTACCGGAAGAGTCCTAAAGTCCCCCTGCTCCCGCAAAAGCATGAAGACTTCGAGTCTCACGAGGCGGGCATAGAGGGTGCGTCGTTTTGGGGCGCTGTGTTTAATTTATCCACCACGGCTGTGGGAGCCGGAATCATGGCTTTACCTGCAACTGTTAACCAATTGGGTTTAATTCCGGGTCTAATTATGATCCTATTCGTTGCTTGGCTAACGGAATCGTCGATAGACATGATCCTAAGATTCACCCGAGCTTGCAAGTCGGCCACGTATTCGGGTCTCGTGGCGGACGCTTTCGGTGGGGCCGGTCGGACGTTATTGCAGGTCTGCATTGTTGTGAACAATTTGGGAATGCTCGTTGTTTACATGATTATTATAGGTGATTCATGTTTATTGTTTATTGTTTATCATATGATTATCATGCTCCTTAATTATTTTGAATTTTGACTTTGCTAAGTCAGTCAATGGGAAATGCTTGCCTTCTGATTATGGTTGGAGGGTTATCTACGTTAAAAGAAAGAAATAAATAATAAATCTTTATTTTTGAGCTGGCAGGTGATGTGTTATCGGGTACTTGGTTGAACGGCATACATCATTCGGGTCTGACTGAAGAATGGTTCGGTCAACATTGGTGGACCACACGCGTTACATTGCTTCTCATCACCACCCTCTTTGTCTTTGCTCCTCTTATTTCATTCAAGCGCGTGGGTAAAGTCTCCATGCTAATTATGTATTTGTTGATTAATCTGAATGACTTGGCATTAGTAAATTCACAAGCAAAATTGATTATTAAAAGTGACAAATGGAACTACTGACTTGGACTGAAGTGTCCCACCATAAATTAATAAGGAATTTTCATGAATATGCTTACTTAGAATTGCTATATTTGTGTTCAAAGTTTATAGAGCCATTAAGCCACCCATTTATAACTATGTTGAGTAATGGTGATTGATTTTTTGTTCTTTATTTTGTTGTTAATGCTAGATTCATTGAGATACACTTCAGCATTATCGGTGGGTTTGGCCGTTGTATTTGTGGCAATAACAGCGGGAGTGGTGATTGTTAAATTAATATATGGAGGCATTGGAGTACCGCGGTTGTTGCCTGAAATTAACGACCAGGCTTCATTTTGGAAGCTTTTCACCACTTTCCCAGTTTTAGTAACTGCCTTTATCTGTCACCATAATAGTAAGTTTCGTGACTTGTGACATGAAAATTCGTAGTGGCATCTGAGGACTGGGTGGATGTATGATATCTTTATGCACTAGAATGTATTTGAATTTTTGCAAATTTATTTCCCTGATAAATTCTTCCGTCTTTTCTTTTCTTTAGGCGGTTTCAAGGGTTATGATAAAGTGTCTCATCTCTTGTAGTTCATAGCAGCACATGAAATAGTTACTTGATGACTTGATGTCACTTTTCAACATAAAGACTATTATTGCATCATGAGCTTGCTTGTCAAATATTGTATCCTAAATGATACATCATCATCAACCACATAAATACGTATTTACCTTGGTATACAAAACTTATGATATGTAGTATTATTCTTGAAGGATTGGTTCCATCTAGATGTGGGGTTTGGATTTCCTTCTCTTTACTTAAACCGAACTTCATTATAATTCTGTTAAATTAATAAAATAGTATTTTGCATATAATTTTATGTGAAGACAGATATAATACAAATGCATTGAAGCGTTTTTTCATTGATTTTTATGAGGAATTGGAACTATTTCTTGCTGTTTAATTTAACAAGCATTTTAGTAATAAGTTGGTTGAAATGGACAACTCTTTTGCTGCAAACTGCAAAGTCCAACTAGGTTCAATATGGCCCAAGATGGAGGTTCTGGATATCCTGTTACGCTCAAGGTGCTATTGGACATGCTCCTTCGGTGTTGCTACAATGAAATGTGTTTTTGTTAACAATATATGGATGTTGTATTAATTCCTTGGAGACTGCATTTAGAGACGGTACTAGTTATTTATCTTTGACTACAACAAGAGAGAAAAATAACAAGTCATAAATTTTATTTCACATTAAAATACACCCTCATAAATAGATAAATAGTTGAATTTCATATGATTTGTTACTTCAGCTTGTAATTATTTTGTTGTTCACTTGTTTAATATGCTTTGCAGTTCATCCAATAGAGAATGAACTGAAGGACACGACTCAGATGAAGTCCATTGTTCGGACATCGCTCTCATTATGCTCAATTGTCTATGTTGCAACCAGTGTCTTTGGACTTCTCCTCTTCGGGGATCATATTTTGGATGATGTGCTTGCTAATTTTGATGGTGACCTTGGAATTCCCTATAGTTCATTGCTTGATGATGTGGTTAGGGTGAGCTATGGAATCCACTTGATGCTTGTTTTCCCCATTGTGTTTTTCTCCCTCCGCCTGAATTTGGATGGACTTCTTTTTCCCTATGCCATTCCTATTGCGTTTGACAACCGTAGATTCTTCTTAGTAACTGCAGCTCTGATGGGATTTATCTTTGTGGGAGCCAATTCTGTACCTAGTATCTGGGATGCCTTCCAGTTCACTGGTGCCACAGCTGCTGTCTCTGTTGGTTTTATCTTTCCAGCTGCCGTTGCCCTTAGGTAAGTAATAGTTGTTAAAGGAAGAAAAGTTCATGAATTCAACTCCAGCAGTGGAAAATATGAGAATCATCAAAATTCTTGGTTGCTCTCAGATCCTATATGCCTTGTATTTGAAGGCATCTTGGTCATTTGTATAACTAGCATTGTTTGTCTTGTGGTAGATGCCTACTACATAGCATCTCTGACCTAATAAATTTTTTCAGCTTAGATTTGTAGCCATGATAGGAGAGTTTCTTAAATGGAAGTAATCTCTTTCCTAATGAATTAGATCTAGTCGGAGAAATAGGCTTACAAACCAGTAGTTGCGGAATTTTATAAAACTCATAGTGCTGAAGGGGGATTAGCACTTCATTGAAGCCCAACGAACAACACACTATTTGTCATGCTGCATCAGTTGTTCTACATAAAGAAAGATACATACTCAGATTTACTTATATCAGCTAAAATCATAATTATTTCCTGTCTGTGCTTGTCCAGAGATACTCATGGAATTGCAACAAAGAATGACAGAGTGGCATCATGGCTGATGATCTTTTTGGCAGTCTCATCAAGCACCGTGGCAGTCTCCAGTGACATCTACAGTATTTTTAGTGTTGATAAAGGCATTGGAGGCTGACCTTAAAAAGGGGCAACTTTCTGGTTGCTCTGATGCTGTTTTTGGTCGCCCCATAGATAATGTTAACTGGGCCTACTGCGATGAGGCAGTCGGGGACTACTGGGCTTTGGTCAACAAAGGAGCATTTCGCTGCAGTAAAAGCAACGCTCCAGTTCCTTATATGATATTTGGTACTCCCCATTTTTGTAAAGTGATGTAGACCGCTTGAAATTAGAATCATTATATACTCTAAAAGTGAAATACATGATGTTGATTGATTTAGGCAGTGTGCGAATTCGCGATTTCATTAGTTTGGAAAGGTTGATTGTCCTCCTGAGAGCTGGATTTCACACACTTTATGACACATTGTTAATCATCTTCTTGAAGCGAGTATCGCGATAACTGACATACACATACACACCAATTCAAGAAAAGTGAGATATACAAGAAAATATATATATATATATATATATATATATACACACCACAGCATGTGGGTGTGGTGAATATGTGTTACGCCAGGTTCATCTATTGATATTTGAAGCAACTTAAAAAAAAAAAATTTGCCGCAGATTTTGACAAATCTGCCTTCTAAATAGTTTTAAATGGATTTAACTCCTGTTGTTTATTGAATCTAGGCAGAAGCAGACTGGGTTTACATTATTTCTCTAAAACCGAGGCAGTTATTTTTCAACTAGAATTAGCTAAGTATTGGGCATGCTCCTTCTAACGAGGCTAGAAATCTAATATTGAAGTTTTAGTTGATACCTACCCATTAATATTTGTGAGTACCAATCTGTTTCAATGAAGGCTTCTTAAAGTTAAGATACAAATCTGCCAAATTGTTGAGTGAGTGGCCTTCATTTAAGGTTTTTTAAATTCCTAATTCATGTTGTACGTGTCATCTTATGGTAATTTACGTACAACCATTTCATAATTTGATGTCATCTAAAACTGTCAATTAATTCATATTTTAAGTAGATACTTAAGTTAAAACCTTACACACACTGAGAACGACCGCTTATTGTTTGAAATATTGGATTGGATTGGATGACAATTCACAGCTGTTAAAAGCTACATCAAATCATTTATTTATTTATTCATTTCAACTACATCAAATTTTATATGGTTTACAATCACGGGATGTTCCATTCTTTACCATTTTTATTGTATTCTTATCATTTTCAAAATATACATTTGTTTCTCTATTATGGATATACTATTATATTTTATTTAATTATTTTTAAACCCTTAAATTTATTAATTTAATTAAATATCTCAAAAAAAGTTTAAAAATTGATAAAAATACCTTTACCCACCCACATTTGTCAGATTCCGATCACCTTTGTAAGAAGGTGGTCAAAATCTGGTATAATGACGTACTATCAATTGGATCTGGCTGGTAGTGTCCCGATCTAGCATTTTTCGACCAAATTCACGGTAGATCTGGTCGAAAAATACTAGATCTATAGCCAAAGATCTAACTGTTGACGGCCAGATCTTTGGCCGTAGCTAGTTGTCAATGACGGCCAAGATATGGTAGTCGTTGACGAGCAAACGTGGCCAAATCTGACAGTCAATGGCCAAATCTAGCTGTAGATCTGACCTTTTCTGGCTAGATCTATGGTGAATCTAGTTGGAAAAGGCCATCTTGACGTACGACCGATCAAATCCAATCGGTCGTGCATCGATACGGTGACTTCGGCCACCCTCTAACGATAGTGGTTAGTTGCCAGTATTTAATGGGTGGGTGAGGTTGTTTTTGTAATTTTGAATATTTGTATTACATGGGTGTTTAATAAATTAACAAACCTAGTAGTATATTTTTTGTTAATTTTCAAATCTTAATCACACAACTCTTACTTTTTCAAAATTATTATCCAAAATAGTAAAAGAAATGCACTCTAAACCTTTCAGAATTTTCTATCCATATTTTATATTTCAAACAAGAAGCCAATTATTTGACGTTCACCATTCAACTGCAAATCATTGTTTTATAATTAACAACATTTGATGATAATAACGATGAGATTCCCACTGCATAACAGACATCAATTTATCATTTTTTTTTTATAATTTGAGTATTAAAAAATGAATTGGAATCTGTAAAAATTAATTAAATTCTATACAGATGTTACTGCCTTCACGGCTGCCAGGATCAACTGGTTGAGTTGAGATGCAATGAAGGTCCAATGAAACTCCAACACACCTCTTTTTATTTTAATCCTACAAATACCCACACAACGGGGCCCCAATTAGTTAGGGCTGAAAAAAGAAATCCAAATAAATAAACTCGTTTCGTGTTTTTAGTAATAGGTTTGGTGAAGAAGTAAACCGTGCATACATTACAATTGAACTTGGACATTCTCAAAAGTCATAAGAGAATAGTGAACATGGCAACCATAAATACTATTCTTGTCACGTTTTCCATTTATCACTGGCTCTACCTCACGATCCAAAACTTATTATTTCATCCCAACTACGTACCAAATAAATATAACATAAGTTGACCCCATTGCTCATTATTTTACCTTCATAGTACAGGGTCAAATTCCCTTGTAGTTGACAATTTATAAAATGTAATTTAAAGCATATAATTTTAAACTAATTTCATTCTCCAAATTGATTCAGAATATTAATTATTTCATATAAAACTTTGCAATTCACATGGAGTTGGAGAGTTTATCAACTTTTCTTTTTATAAGGTGGGTCAACCGCTTTAAATCTTTTGACAATAAGAATAAATTACCCATAAAAAGTAATTAATATTTAAGAGAAAAACAATGTCGTGTTGTCATGGCTGATATCAGATTTTGCATTGGAAACCAAAAGTAATGGATCCATAATATATATATATATATATATATATATATATTACCAAAGTGTTTATTCGATTGTGGCATTGTCATTGACCTGACTATATGGACCCGAACACACCATTAGATATTACACAACCCTTAATCATTGATGGACAAATAAACCAATCAACCCATAATCAGATTACATAAAATCAGTCAAGCCGTCCACTTGTAGGTTGTAGCATTATATATAACTAAATATTATAATCAAATAAATACAGACCATGGTTTTAGACCAATGTCGTTTACGCATACCTAACCCTTGCTAGGGCCCTACATGTAATATTATAATTTTAAGATTTATGTTATTTCTAAAGAAACATGGGTGATTGGAAGGACAAAACCAAAGGCAATAATATGTAATGGAGCTGTCATCCATGAATCTTAAGAAAAAGGCAAACCCACTTCCTTTCCAGTGGATTTTCTGGTGAAATCTTGTGTTTATATTACAAAAACATGGTGTTTTTTTTTTTTTTTTTTTTTTTTTGTGTGTATTATAATACTAAGGTTGGTTGATTTAATTTGAATCAGCAATATATTGAGTTTGTTATGCCTAAAAAATCAAGACTGATGTGGACTCTCGTCAACAAGAGCCAACCAGAATTTAGGGAGGATTTGTGTCGTTTAGATGTTGCCACGTCGCGCAATGACGGAAGAGGTATAGTTCTCGTCAGTACAACACGTGAATGTCAGGCTTGCGAGTGGTTAGGAATCGTTCACTTACCCAAGCCCTACGCAATTTAAGGATATCTCTCGTGTAGACAACCAATGAGAAGTGGGTTAGGAATTGTATCCCACCTGCCGGACTGCAGACTCATGATTATTGCCTTAAATCTTCTCACTATAAATAGATAACTCCTCTCTCATTTACGGGATTGGTTTATCTTAGTTTAAAACAGTATACACACACGCTTTCTCTCTTTATATTCTCTCTAGATTGTAACTTAGCTCGTTATATACGACTTGACTGTAACCATCTATTAATACAATTACAGTGGACGTAGGAATCGTTTTTGAGCATCCGAACCACTTTAAAAACCATATTTTATTTACTCTCTTACTATACATTTTCATATCACGTGTAACTTCTAAACCCGTTTAGCATTTTGCATATGTGAGTCGTTGGTGTCAAAATCAAACATTAACGGAGTTGAAAATTGAGCTACCAAAAAATCAAGCAGATGACTATTTATATTTTTGGAATATCCAACAATAAAGACATATACGTTATATTTGATTTTGATCTCTCTAATATGAATAAAATCAATGTTTAAATTTTTTACATAAAATTCATCATAATACGTGAATATCATGTTATGTGTATTATCCCGGGCAGAGTTGCGGAGATTGCGCACAAATACCTGGAGGCACGACATGCACCGCCGGCAAAAGGTGGCTACTGTACTGGCCAGCCTGTGTGTCTTTAACCTGACTATGGAGTGTGGACCACCGCTTTGCCACTTGTTATTCTCTTCTCTCCCTTCAGTTCTTACTATTTAATCTCATTGTCCATTTATCACGTGTGGTTTTCGGTCTTCTCTGATTACTACACGTGTTACAGATCGACGGTCCATCTGACACCTGCGAGGAATCCTAAACTACATAGTATATAATGTCAGTCAAATTCCAAATTTGTCCCTTATCCTTTCTGAAATTGAGCCCCTGCTTTACTGTGTTAGCCGGTTATTTCATTTTTCTTTTGAGTTTTTGAATTTTGAAAATACTGTAGCCATATCATGATTCACGTGACGACAACCAAAAATTCATTACAAGAGAGTTTGTTAATGTACAACTCGATCACATTCACTATGGTGCGTCCGTTGGTCAAATAAATAATATATTGGAATCGACTCAAAGTCATGATCATACATGACTAAAAGCAGTATCACCGTAAGCCGTGCTACAGCCTACAAGTCAGTACTGTAGCCTAAATTTCTCTGAACTTGACATTCCAAAATTACCCCTTCACTACTTTTGTACATATAGGCTAGAAGTGTCGGTGGCCAAAGCAAAGGTCCGAGGCTATTTTAGACCATTTTATCATATCTCATTACTCCTGGCAACCTATTATGAGCTTTAAAAGCGCAGCCGCACTTTAGCGGCGTGTCCTCCGCACATGCAAGTAAGGAGAAGAAGTTAATGGCTCTGTTTGGTTCACAATTTTGTGTTTTTGGGAAAAATTTTTTGAAAAAAGTTAAAAAAAAAGTTGAATTGGGTGGGTATTACGATGTAGGATTTACAAATTAATAAAATACCCCATATGTTTGTTTTTTACAAAACACCCCTTATAATAAAATATTAAAAGTTAATAAAAACACCCCTAATCCACCCTCAAATACGGACAGCCGGCCACCACCGCCGGAGGGTGGCCGGAGTCACCGTAACAAAAACATTGAAAATATTTAGGGGTATTTAATTGAATTAACAAATTTATGGGGTTTAAAAAATGTTGAATAGAGTTGAATAATATTGTGAGTTTTTAGGTATTTTACTGTTTAACATTTTTGGGAATACTAAAAGTAGTATTCCCAAAATCCAACCAAACGAAGCCAATGTTATTATGTTACCCTCTGGGCATGTTT